TTCGTTTCACAGGATTGTTGGATCAAGTAAAGAATACGCACTGTTTCGCTAGAAAAGAACTAAAAATAGGAATCGATAGAGCTTTTTCAACTGATTATAACAATACTTAAAATTACTTGCGGAAATTATGGAGATATCGAAGGCCAAAATTCGAAATTTGATTTTTGAAAAACCGTAATACCTTAAAAAAGACTAAAGCTTTTGAAAAAGTTTTAAGTGAAACATTTTTCTTCTAGTGATCATTTCTTATATCTTGCGTTTCAAATTTATGATAAAAATTGGTTTTTATAAAAAAAAATATGGAAAAATTCTATTTAAACTGCTTTTTCTTCAAAAGTAGCCTCATTAGGATACTGTAAGCGTACATTTGGTATAAAGAAAATTATTTCCCTTTCGTTTGATATGCATATGACTATACCCAAGTTTTGCCTTTAAATAAATTTGAAATAAAATTTATTTTCATAAACTTTTTAATGCTCATCCGACTATGCCATCCAAAATATTTCTACACAGACGGTGTATAGCATAACCTAGCCAATAAGACATAACCCATAAATTGCTGAACGCCTTTTGCAGAGAACACCTTTCGGCGTAGGCGGCCTTGGCCGCGCTTAGGGACTATACCCAGTATTGCCAGAAGAAGTTTTTCATCCAACTAAATGGAAAAAAGAGCTAAAAACAGCTAAATTAAAAATTCTTTAGGCTAAAAAAAAGCTAATAAAGTAGAGGCAATTATTCAAATCTTTTATTAGTTGTCTCACAAAATACAGCAACATAGGTAAACATTTCTTACATCCAATAACAAATTAAAGGTTATTTGCGGTAAACCCGAAGATTTTCTGGTTATTCCCCATCAGAATTGATTCCCCATCGACGTTAATACCCAGCTGCAGTCTGACTTCCTTCAACCAGGTGGTAAAGAAGGTTGCCGAGAATTTTTTAGGGAAATTTTTTGCAGTGAAGAAGCAATAAAGTTCGGAGATGTAACCGTTTACTTTCGAGTACAAGTCATAAAATGCCTTTGACACATCCAACGCTACTAGGACTGTTTTCTCACAGGGTCGGTTACAGTATAGGCCACGCGTTATATGAGTCTTTATGACGTTAAGTGCTGTTATTGTGCTGTTCAATTTACGGAATCCATGCTGATGCCTTGCTGGTGACAGATGGTTCGTGTAATGCTGGAGTAGAGAGGCTTCTACTGTCTTCGCTAGCAGGGAAAGGAGAATTATCGGACGATAAGACTCTTCCTTGTTGGCCGGTTTCACAGGTTTGTCTGGAATGATGAGAGTGGCCATAAACAGGTTGAGGACCATGGTAAGATAGTCTTCTTCCGCACGACCCAATTTTTTCAGCATCAGGCTACACCGATGGTGAAAACAAGAGCAAGGTGCAAGGAATGACCTCACGGTTGACCAAAGCATGCTCACACCAGAGGTGAAGTTGCAGGTCTCCAAGTGCTTTCCGCTTATGTATGTTCACAAGTTACCGAATCTCCGTACTGAAATCCCTAATTCGGGGATTTCGGGGGAACGGCCTGACGAAGGTTTTTACGCTCATCAGCTACAACAGCCGCTTCGGCCGGAAAATCCGAGATACATCCGGCTGGGATGAATCAGGCTACAGCAGCAGTGACAATCCTGCGGAACTTACGCTCACCTACTTGAACGTCAGTTAGTGTGGGAAGGGAAGAGAACTTTCGCGATGCCGTTCCAAGCCTTTCCAATCAGCTTTAGAAAAGTTGATATAGTTCGGTGTTCCGCGGAAGCACAATCGGCTGGTTTATCAATCGAGATGACTATGGGCAGATGTTCTGATGCTAATGTCAGCATCCTTCGCCACGTTATGCTGGTTATCACACCAGCGCTTTCAATTATTATGTAAGTCGAGCTGCAGCAGCTGCCCATAATCCTGGTGGGCCCATCATCTTTCATTGTGCAGAATGTCGGATCGTCTATCTGCTCAGCCAAGTGTGTTCCCCTACTATCATTCGACGGGCTTGAATGCCAAAGATCGCCGACTACCACACGGTATTCGCCTCTGAGGAGCGCACCTATTTCAGGGTAATATCCTGTCAGGCAGCAGGTCCAGGGGGTAACTACACGTTAAATATTTCGAGCTCGACATCCCCTCACCGGACAGCTATGCCCTGGTATTCTAGGGTTGTCGCCCTGGGGCCAGTCTCCCCTGAAATTAGACGATACTGCACAGTATGATGTAGGATGAACGCTAGGCCTCCAGTATTGTCTCGCTCGTGATCTTTATGGATCATATTCTATGCCATGCCGACCCATAAATACGGTTATCTCTTCGATCTTGCTCCGAAGTACGATGCAGTTCAGTTGTAGTAGGTTCGTATACCTTGGGAAACTCGTCGCGATGTGGAGAGTAAGGCTAAAACACAGTGTAGCGGCGAGCAAAGAGCATCGAGCAAAGCTCCGATTACAAACGCATATCTTTCAATGGGAGAGCGCATAGTGAAGAGCAGAGCGTACTTAAGCTGCAGCTCCATAGTAGATTTTTCAGGCGTTGCAGCCTTGTGTAGTGACATAAATATCCAATTTTTTTTACTTGAGGTTATGTCACTATATAAGGAGTGACATATTTCCAAATGAAAAGGCAACGAAGTTCCAAATCCCTCATGTAATTTTGCTGGCTTCGCCTACATTATTTTCTGCCATCGCCTATAGGCGATCTAATATTACAATAGGTATGTATAACTGAGAGTCATTACTAGACGCCGCGTTTGCTAAGGTTCCACTTTTTTGCTCAGAACTTCTTTCTGGGTAGGCGGCCTTCGGCCGCGCTAAGGGTTTATGGCCCTTACGAAGCAGAACTCTCCTTCATATGTTGCCGGAAAAGAGCAACGGAAGTATCTTTGCGCAGAACTTCTTTCAGCCTAGGCGGCCTTCGGCCGCGATAAAGAATTATAACCGTAACGATGTTGAATTCTCCTTTCAGCGTTGCCGGAAAAGAGCGGCGGAAGAATTTTTGCGTAAAAAAAAATTTTAATAGAAGATGGAAAGTATGCTTTAGGCTCTAGATTGACATTATCCCAATTGGAGTTATGACATCTTATAAGAAGTGACATAACCCCAATTAAGAAAGTCTAAGTTTTATAATATATGATGTAATATATGATTTTCACCTTTCCGAAAGAAAGTATCAATTTTGAGTGAATTAGCGTTCTTAAATTTCGAAATATTGAAGTGTCAAGCATTTCTGAAATTTACCGTTTTTTAGGCCGATTTCAATAATTTTCAATCGTTTGCTTTTACGTGACAAGCCCAATAACCATAGCGAGTTTGGTACAAATTGGTAGAACGGTTACCGGTGCCACGCCCATTTTCCAAAATGTTATCATAAACGTATTTTTTGGTAAAGAATTGTTGTAAGCATCAATTTTGAATAAATTAGCTTTAATATTTACTGATTTATCGCAGATTTCGTATTTCTCCAAATTACCGTTATATGGGATGTGGGCGTGGTTATTGTCCGATTATTTAAATTTTCGGCCGTTTGGTATGCTGTAGTAAGGCTAACAACTGTGCCAAGTGTGGAAGAAATTGGTGCAGCGGTTACCAACCATAAGTGGGCGTGGCTACGCCCATTTTCCAAAAATTTATAATATTCTTATTTTTCGTCTAAAAATTATTCAGTAGTTACTAAAATATCGCAGTTTTCGTATTTCTGAAAATTACCGTTATATGGGAAGTAGGTGTGGCTATTGTCCGATTTTGCCCATTTTCAATACCATCCGTCCTACGCCTGAAAGAAGTGCACGTACAAAGTTTCGTTAAGATATCTCAATTTTTACTCGAGTTATCGTGTGTACAGACGGACGGACGGACGGACAGACAGGCACCGATAACTCGATTTCTCTTTCAATTCTGATCCATCATTTATGTATACTTTTGTCTATATCTATCTCGATTCGTTTTGCCTGTTACAAACAACCGTTATGTGAACAAAGTTATAATACCCTTGTGCACAAGTGCCCTCGGGTATAAAAAATTGGCTTTTTGTCTTAAGGAGTGACATAATTCCAAATTTTAAAATTAGAGCCACTTGGAGTTATGTCATCGTATCATTTTCAATGAATGCAACACAAAATTCAGGCAATACAACGCAAAGAAAACTTATTTATTTTATAAAAATGAATATAAAAGAGGTGAACAAAGGTATTGAATATTAAGATGTAATGGTAAAAGAAGCACCACTTTTATCGAACCAGCATTTTCTAGTCGATATCTCTCAAAGGTTCGAAAAAGTGTCAAGCGCAAAAATTTTGATGGGGAGTTGCTCGCCTAAAAAAAATCTGCTATGGAGCTTCAGCTTTAGACGTTTGTAATTGAAGCTTTGCTCGCCGCTCCACTATGTTTGAAATATTCGTTTTGCTTTAATTTTTAATGCATAACTATTCTGCAATTGTTAGAAAATTTACTGCAGATTTCAATTCACACAACATATTGGCAAAATTGTCTGACCATATTATGTAGTAAAAACACTGCGGTTGTTCACACTTGGCTGCTTATCAGGGTATCTGGTTAAAAATTATTATTCTGTAGTGTATTTTATTATTATTTATTTTTTGGTTTGGATTAGCTGCATATTTTGCTATGTATCTGCGTAGTTTTTGAGAATTCGCTAAACCGTTTCTATTAGTTTAGGCCGCTGTAGTCCCATTGTGCGTCATAGTTATCGTAAGCCAGGGCCGGATCTTCGGGGGAAGGGGGGGAGATAATATGGGTAAAAGGTTTAGAATTTCAATCACACTCTTGGTAGTGTGATTATACTTCGTGCTAAATGAGATTTTTTTTCTGATATGAAGTTGGCCATTTCCAATAGATTTTGTCGCTGAACTCATATCTGAAAAATATGCACAGCATTTTAAAATACATCTCCTGTGCTTTCACAAGCCGCACAGTGTGCTTTTTGAACACTGCATGCGAATTAATCGTAGCGCTTTCGACAGAAGCAACAT